TTTTTCAGAGTAAACTCTAATCTAAGGCCTTCTTTCTCACCTCCACCTGTCCCTGAGCTGGTGGAACTGAACACCACTGAACAAGGGCTGCTGACAGGGTCAGAAGCCTCCCTTTCCTAGAGTGATACCTTTTCTAGAATGGGATGCTGGATGGTCTGTATCCACCAGTCTCCTTTCTTGCTCTTTTCAACGTAAACCTCAGAACTTTCAGCAAACTCAGGCAGAAACAGAACTCAAGGTACTACACCCATTGGACCAGGAAAAGACCTCAGTTTACAAACAAGGGCTGGAGTGAAGAAGGGAGCCCTGGCCTCTCAGGTTGTCCGCACTAACCACCATGTCTACTCTCTGTGTCTTGCTGTTTTTATTTTTCTCTCTGTGCATTTCACACTTTCAGGTTTCATTGCTTATATAAACTTTGATTGAAACTGAACAATCTGGAAATATGTTTTAGACTTTGTGGATTCAAGTTGCCGACTTGGAAGGGGATTGTCACTCTTTCTCTGTAATTTGCTTAGACTGATTTTGTTGAGTCTGTTTTCCTTATGGAATGCAGTAGCTGATGTCTCTGCACTCCTCTCACTTTATTTTAAATTGCTCATGCTTGTATTTGTAAGACTGAGTTTCTCTCTATCACTTATGAGTGAGTATAATTTAGAGATCAGTTAATATGCATGTTTATTCATCTTGAGCAAGGAAGTCTTCCTTTTGCTCATACATATGTCTTTGATTAGAGGATGCCTTATAATTTCAGAAACTTAGCAATTTTGCATTGGGATTCAGTTTCTATTTCCTACATTTATAAGTTCATATTCAACCAGGAATGAGTGATTTTCTCACTGACCTTTTGGAGTTTTCTGAATGTATATGGAACCTCTCTTGCACCCAGTCTTTAGATCAGTAGAAATTATTATTATTTTTTTTGTGTGTCAATGTTCACTTTATATTTCCCATTCTCCTGTCATCTTTGTTGAATTCCTTTCCCATGTATTTCAAATCACACAGGAACATAAATACTGATGTAACATTGTTCTGTGTTACAATTTCCCACTAAACTTATTACAGTTTTAATAGTAATACTGGAATATGTTTCCAAGTTTGCTCTAAGTAGTATTAGCCTCTTCTAGTAGTGATAACAGAGCTGCCAGTCTCTTGGCATGTACCACTCCTGACAGATGTTTCATGGAGCTGAGAATGGTTGATGGTTCCAGCCACATACACATTTTTGTTTTTATTTTTGTTTTTGTTTTATTTTTATTTTTTATTTTTATAGTGATGTGGATCAGTCCCATGCCCTTGCACATACTGGCCAAACTCTCTATAACTGAGCCATATCCCCCGCCCCACTTTCTAAAATTTACCCTATTTTTAAAATTCTTATGAAGTTAGTTTTATTTTCTGAAACACTTCAAATTATTTTCTATGCCTCTTCTTGCATATAAGATTTTAAAAAATGATTGTAGTTTAAAATTTTGCCCAGATTTTTCATTTTTCTGTGTTCAAATTTACCACAATAAAACATAGGCAATGAATTTCTGACAATAGGATAAAAGGTTCAATTAAAAAGGGGTGTTTCTATTAAAATGTAATTTGGATGAATTAACTATGTATACACATCCAAAGATGCATGCACCAAAAAATCTAAAATTTATCCTGTTGCAAAAAAATGAATACAAACTAACATATTTAAATGTAAAATCTTAAACTGTAGAACTAGTTGAAGAAAACAAAGGCATAAATCTTTGTAAATTGGAATAAGCAAGATTTCTACATTATGTTACCCAATGCGTAATCCATAAAAGACGACATTTAAAAAGTGGACATCATTATAATAGAAATAGTTTGTTCTCATATTGACATTGCTAAGAGAATAAAAACACAAACTAGGAAGAACATTTCAAATCACTTACCTAACAAAGAAATAGACAGAATAGGATATTGCTACAAATGTGTTTCAATAGCTAGAACTAAGATAAAATACATCACAAGATGATAAAATTCAAAATTGATAAGTAATCCCTTTGAATAGTGATAGTTTAATTCAGACTATTGATACTTATGAATTAAGTTTTTCTATTAGTCTTTAACCATGAAGAAAAATGTATTCCTGTTTACCATAGTTAGACCAAAAGTTCCACTCTAATGTGTTTTATAATTAATTAAATGGATTTCTTTTTCCAGGTGTTACAGATATCTACTCCATTATTTTATAACCTTTACATGAGAGAAGCCACCTTTAACCTAAGCTGGTCCTTGACTGTGAACTTCATGCAGTCACTACTGCATCTGCATTTTTGCATTTTTTTGACAATCAAAATAAAATAAAACTCAATAATAATAGAGTTTCTTAGTTGGTCTCATGGCAGTTCAGTTGGAAATTTTATTTGTGTGGCTTCAATTGTGACTAAATTTTATATGAAGAACTGTATCAAGAAATTCTGCATGCCTTTTCCAGTCTGTCCACCTGGAAGGAATAGGTTATAGCTCTTATTCATTACTTTCCCCAGAGTTCCCCATCCATAATATGATCCATAATATGGAGCATGTTGTGACCTTCCTGGTCAGCATGTATGCGCATATGGAAAAATCAAGTTAAAAATGATATAACTGCCTGCAGAGACCCACAAATTTCACATATCAATTTTCAATGATAGAAATATAAACTTTTCTAATTTAAGACATTTCAGATTTTTTTTTTTATAAGCAGGGTCTTGTTGAGTTGCTCAGCACTCCCCCATTGCTAGGGCTGGCTTTGAACTCACAATCTTCTTGCCTCAGCCTCCTGAGCCTCTGGGATAACAGACATGCACCAGTGTACTTGGTAGATTTGCATCTTTGTAAGAACATTTCAGTTTATATCTTAAATAATATTAAATTGTAACGTTCTATTGTTTTCAAGACTCATATTTCTTAATGATCATGAAATAAAGAAAGCCTGATAATTTAAAAAGAGTTAGTGTTGACAAGTTTTTGGTTATTGCACAAACACTTTTGATTGGCAGCAGAATGGTTAAGGTCAATTAGAAGGATCCTTGGAAAAGGAACTGATCCCTAGAGCTGAGACTATTTACTACTTAATGAGAATTTTTACTTCTGAGAATGACTATATCTGAAAAGGCAGTAAGCCTCTTTTCAAATAAAATAAATTACCCAACATGTAAAATAATCTTCTTTTTCATTTTCCCTTACATTTTACTCAGTCAAGAAAGGTAAGCATCATGTTTGACATTGAACAAACAGGTAAAAACCCATACTCTTGTCTAAAATAAATTTATTTTTGCAGGTATCTGTATGTTTAGAATTGGCAAAGAGCACTTGTAGAAAATTTTGAAAAATGTACTTTTTATTTCACAACACTAATTCAGATGGGCTTTGTACTTTTCTGGCTTTGATAATTGTAAGATCAAATAAGATCAAAATGTAAAGTGTGTTTTAAACTAATGAGGCCATATCTTAAAGACTATTGTCATTTGAAATATTAAAACTTAAGTGATTCCTATGTGGTATGTATTTAAATATTTTGTATGTAATGTCTGGGAATATTGTCAAAGAGGTCAATTCTATGTACCTAATAAACAAGCTAGGACATAAATATTGTTGAAACAGATTGCATTTTATCCTGCCACTATCAAAGGGGTTCCTTGAACATTTTGATCATTATCCTAGTAGCTCTAGATTGAATTAATTTGAAATGACTAAGTAAATAAAATATGACCTAAATGTTGCAAGGCAGAATAGTGAAACTCTTCTTGTGTAGTCTTAACCTGAAATCAGACCCCAGAAATGTCAGTGTTAGGTTAGGTACAGATAATTATCTAAAGATTTTGCTATAGCCCTTCTCATTTTGTGTCTGCATCTATTTCTCTTTTCCTTTTTTTTTTTTTATTTGTAACTGATGCCCAACATTGTACATACTTATGTGAGTCTTCAACACGTCTTTTCCCGTGTAATATTCAAATGAGAGTAAACCTCTCTCAAACATTTATCATTCCTTTAAAACCTTCAAAGTCTCTTTTGAGTAAAAATTCAATGGTGTTATCTATTGTCACTCTCCACCATGACCAACCTCACCCCATACCTCCTAGTCCCCAGTGTCCCAAGCCTCTGTGAACCACATTCTACTCTTGCCTCTGTGAGATTAAATTAAGGCAATTTTATAATCTCTTTAATATTTTGTCCAAAATATTATAAATAATAAAATAAATTCTCGTTAGCTTTCATTTTCTCAGTTATAGAAAATCCTTGGGATGCCCAAATTTTTTGTACAACATAGCTACTTCCTCACTTCTGCTGAAATGAGGTCACTGTACAGACTGACCAGTCTTAGCACATGGTTAGAGGTTTGTATACACTTTGAAATATGTTACTCCTTTTCATCTTTAAATTTACTGAACACCTTATGTGTTAAGTAAATGCTATCTAATACACACCACATCAGTGAGATGAAATGTTACCTTTGTAAGAGTGAATGAAACTACAATAATTCCTGTACACCTTCACTCCCATCTCCACCACGTGGACATGAAAAAGGACACACAGGTAAGACATGCTTAATATGCTGCTGGGCATCTGGTTTTATATTTTGCTATGAGTCAGTCTTGTAGTTTTATATGAGTCAAATAAAAAACTGAGTGGAATATCGTATTTCATACAGTAAGTAAGTGAATCAAATTTTGTGAAGCAAATATATAATGCAGTATACATGAAATATGTAGACAATACCAAGAAACTTATAATTTAGGTCTATAAATAAGGACATAATATAACAAAGACAAATGATCATACTCCCTTATAATCATGGACATGAATGCACCCACATATATAGGTGTAAGGGAAAATGTTTAATGGAGCAGACGAGATCAGCACCAAATAACACAGTGTGGACTTAATGATTTACTATGATCTCAGGAATAAGATGAGGTTGATGCCTTTTCCATAAACAATTGTGTAAATTGAAGGTATGCATTGTAGTTAGATTGCTTTCTGGACCATAGATGTATATGTTCTTAATTTTATCTGTTAAGCTTTCCCAGAGAGGAAGAACACTTAGGATTTCCTTTTCTCAACACTATGAAACTGAATAATATGTATAAATTACAATTTCAAAGATCTTACATGGAAATACAAATTCATTATCCGAAAGTAAATACTATAACAAAGTATCTGATTATCAATATATTATTATTTCTAATAATAAATTTACCAAAATATACAGAAAATCAAAGAAGATCACAACTTGGGAAATACCAGAAAAAAAAAAAAAAACTATAACTCATATGAACAATCTACATTCATATAAGAAAATTATTTAGATATAATTAAAAATATTTACTTCCATTCCCAGCTTTCCCGGGGAAAGGAAAAAAAAAAAACAAAGGAGAGAATTAAATTACAGAAGATGGGAGAGGAGGGGAAGGGGGATAGTAGAGGATAGGAAAGGTAGCAAAATACAACATTTACTAATATAGCAATATGTAAAAATGTGGATGTGTAACCGATGTGATTCTGCAATCTGTATACGGGGTAAAAATGGGAGTTCATAACCCACTTGAATCTAAAGTATGAAATATGAGATGTCAAGAGCTATGTAATGTTTTGAACAACCAATAAAAAAATATTTACTTGAAGAATAAAATACACTTTTGAATTGATGATAGTAGAAAATAGATATGATAATATAGATATGAGAATAGATATCAGAATTTATAACAAAATATTGCAACTTAAAGAAATGAATCATTGGTATCATTTTTGTACATTCAGATTCTAAGATTCAGGATATTCAACCAAAATTAAAAATACCATTATTATTAAAGAAACTCTTACATAAAAAGGCTAAAATTTTTCATATGGGTGCATTTATAATAAAAATATGCAGAACTATAATCTTAGAGTACCAGGAAGCGAGAGTTTTTGTTCTTCTGTGGAACAGGGATATCAGAATATTAACAATCATTGGATTATACTCAAGAACACTAAAACCCAAGAAAGTGAAATGACTTGTACTTTGGTTAAATCTTTCCCACAGATGAAGCATGAGGAGATAGAAGCAGATGACAATGTCTCCACAGTGGTGCAGTTTGTTCTGCTGGGATTTTCTGAATTTCCAAACCTCCAAGGCCTTCTAACTGCAGCGTTCTCCATCATTTACATGGTTATCCTCATTGGGAACAGTCTCATAGTCATAATAACAAGGCTGGACCCTGCGCTGCACAAACCCATGTATTTTTTTCTGTCACATTTTTCTATGCTGGAAATCTGTTATGTTTCAGTCATACTCCCCAGGTATCTGGTCAGTCTTTGGACTTGTGATAGGAGCATCTCCCTACTGAGCTGTGCTGCCCAAATGTGCATCTTCCTTGCACTGGGAACTGCAGAATGTTTCCTTCTGGCTGTGATGGCCTATGACCGCTATCTGGCCATCTGCAACCCTCTGCACTATCCTCTCATCATGAACCCAAGGAAGTGCCATTTACTGGCTGCTGGCTCCTGGCTAGGGGGAATAACAGTCCAGATAGGGCAAACATGCTGGATATTCTCACTGCATTTCTGTCATTCTAACCAAATCAATCACTTTTTTTGTGACCTACCCAATATTCTTAAGCTAGCCTGTGGTGATACTTCAGTGCATGAGGTGTCTGTCCATGTAGTAGTGATATTGGTTGCTACAGTACCTTTTATATTGATACTTGTCTCTTATATCAAGATCATTGCCACTATTCTGAGGTTGCCTACAGCCCAAGGACGTGCTAAGGCATTCTCCACTTGCTCCTCTCATCTGCTGGTTGTAGTTTTATTTTTTGGGTCTGGTTCCATTACCTATTTCAGTCCCAAATCCAACCATTCTGCAGGAACTAACAAACTGCTCTCTCTTTTCTACACCATAGTGACTCCCATGTTCAATCCTGTGATATACAGCCTCAGGAATCAGGATGTGATTGCTGCACTCAAAAGATTATTTCTTAAAACATAGTTTTATGAGATTACTTGAGGTTGTTTTATCTTATTGTCACAGTTATAAGAGAAATATTTCAACTCTCTGAATTCTCCTTTTGAGAGGATAATGATGCCTTCAAGCTTGTGATGTATTTTTGTTATGCTGAAATTTTAGCTTGAAATTTACTCTGCACACAAATATAATTGACAGGATCATCTATCTTCAATTATGCTCACCTAGAGAAAATATTTTCTCCTATATAAAGTTTTAATTTGCATCACACTTACCCTATAAATAATATAAGCAGAATTAAAAATGGATGCATGTCTTATAGTTAAATGTAATAGAAAATTAAATAGTTCTAAATGTCTATACCTATGTATGCTGACAATTGTCTTTGGTCGTGGAGCATGTAGAATAGTAGCTACCAATTGCTATTGATAATGAATGCTTTTCATGAAATGATTAAATAAGTGAATTGATAAGTGAATGTTACTTTGGTTTGCTATAGTGTTCTAGGGGAAAACACACATACACACACACACACATATATATATATATATATATATATATATATATATATATACACACACACATATATATTGGCATCATAAGCAATGGAATGATTATGTGCAAATGTGGAATAAATATCACAGCCTTCCCAAAGCTTAAGTGCATTTACATCTCTTCTTAGTAACTCTCTGAGAGAGTTTCTGATATAATACAATTTCCTTTGTCAAATGGTTTTATATTTTCACATATTTCTTCACATTTGATATAATTTCTCCAAAATATTTTTACTTTATTTTTTTTGTTTCTCTCTTTTCCACTTTCCAAATCCACTCCTATACCTTTGCATATTTTGTAAAGAATGCACTTTCATGAAAATGCAAAGGAAATGTTGGAAGCTATTTTTAGGATTTTGTGAAGTCCACATGGTTGCATTTCTTTATCTAATCTTTCATACCTTTAATAAATTCTAAATTGTTATGAACTATTTGAACTGATATTATAGAGAAAAGTTTCAATCAATAGAACCATAAATGTTCATCTACCCATACCTGATTCTTAAACAATCAGCTCTTTTCATTGATTGTTCTTTAATGTTGCTTCACTTAACTGAAAATTATTCTATTCTATAACTTTTGTATATTTGTAAACATGTATAAAAGAGTGTTACCTCCTGTACTCTACATAGTTATATTTCTCCTTCATTGATTCTTACGCACTTGTAAATATCTGACATGATTTTTTTACATATTGTTGTTTACTGTGTTGATATAAATATGTATACATATATCACTTGCCTATTAATGTTTTATAGTAAAACAAGAATTTGGCACTTGGTTCATGAGAATGACATTGCTGATATGTCTGTAATGATAAAGATGAAGATTATTGCAGTGGTTCATTTTTCAAAATTTAGTGAATCAGGATAAATAATGTCATGGATACACAGTTTTCCTCAGAGTTCAGAAAACTGAATTTTATTCTTCATTTTTGTGAGGAAGTGTTGACTCATTAAATTTCATGTAAGTATGTTTTCTATAACATTTATAATTATCAAAATAGTGACAATGTATTCTTTCTTAACTCCCAGGACTACTATAAGGTACAAATATCTACCTGTAATGGAAGTAGCAAAAAAATATTCAAAAAACTTTATTAAAGAAAATAAAATTGTTGCCTTATTTTGATAAAATTTTTGGAGGAATTATTAGCTATGTTGTATTTTATATTTGAATTCATTGAGATAATCATTCAAAATAAAGAGATGTTACACATTATCAGTTACTCAGAATAGTAAGCCCACTCATTCACAACAATTAGAGTAATTACATATTTTCACTAATGCTATAAGTTCAGCATTGCAATATGTTCTTTGCTCCTAGTAAGATACTATTTGAAATCAATATGTAAAACCCATCAATTAACATGTACAGATTAGGTCTTGAGTCTTGAGGAACTTAAATAGCAATACCACAGGTGTAATGTTCTCCAGTGCATCAGAGATCAAATGAAGATCCTAAATAAATAGTTCATCTTTTCATTGGGATATTGTGATAGGAAAAGTGTTCCCAGAGATGTTCATATCTTACATCTTATGACCTCTGAAAATACATTTTATGACAAGTGTCCTTTGCACAGATGATGAAGTTTTAAATCTTAAGACAGAGAAAGCATTCAGACTCAATCTAATCTCATCTAATCTAATCTCTTCTTAAGAAAAAGAAAAAAACAAGGCAAAAAAATAGAATGCATATGATGACATTATAAGTAACAAGATGTATATATATATTCATAATAATTTGTTCATTTGTGAAATAAACTTAGTTTTAGAGACTATCAATGTTATTAAAAGTTCTGCTAAGTCCCAAGATCTTCCGGGTGTATTGGTGTGTCAGACAACCAGAAGGCAAACGGTTTAGTTCCACTGTAAATCCAAAGTCCTCAGAACAGAAAGAGCAGATGGATAAGTTCCACTCAAGGGTGAATAGGCCAGAAACCCAGGAGAAGCTCACACCTCATTCAAATCCAACAGATGAAGAAAAGCTCTGGCTGTAGTTTGGAGAGAGAACCTTTGCTGTATGTCATCTTCAACTGACTGGACATGGCTTTCCCACATTAGGGAGAATAATGTGCCTTGATCAACAGAACAATATAATGCTAATCTTATCCAAAAACATCCTCAAGGGAAAATATCTCAATAATGTTTTACCAAACATCTGGGCACCCAATAGCCAATTTCCAATTTAACATATAAAATTAACCTTTACAGTAAACAATTAGGTTTAGCATCAGTGTGTGTGAAATGTCTATTTGTAACCAGATTCTTTGTGTCCTTTTAATCAGTGAGCTGGGAAGCCTATTCAATGAGCTGTTTATACTGGATATTATATTTTCCAATGCCATATGATTATTTTCCATGAATTCCAATTCCTTTGTGAATTTCATCATCCTTTTATCATCATTTCTCTATTTTTAAAATCATTTCTTGAAGATATTATTTTGGGTTGTTTTAAAGCCCTTAATTGTGGAATCTTGTATTTGTTCTTAGCAAATATCCTCTTGTTAATGGATCAGAAGGAGTTTCCTATTTTTATATTGAGAAATTTAATTAATTTATTATTTGTAATATAGTTTTACAAGTTCCTTTCAGTTCTGGGTATAACTGAGTGTTAGAACACTTGTCTAGCAGGTATAAGACCCAGGTATAAGAACTTTAACATATGTTAAGATAACCTTTAGAGGAGCATCTTTGCTGCTCTTCCTCATGTTGACTGTGGTCACCCTATGGTTCTCAGCTAACAGTCTAAGCTACTGTTTCATAACTGACACCCTGGTGGTAATGAGTTGAGACTTTATCAAACACCTTTTAGTTGGTGGTGGTGCTGGGATAGGACCCAGGGTCTCACAGATGTTAGGCAAGTGTTCTACCACTGAGCTACTCCTCTATTTGGGTGTAGCTTGTTTTAAATTCAGAAAAATGCATTTCATAATCCCAAGTTATAAGTGAACATTAAAACGTTTTAAAATTGCTTTAATGGAATAAACTGTTAAATTATTATTAGTTTGGAATTTATGTTAAAATGAGTTGTATCATGTTGCCTACATGAATAGAGTAAATACTTCATAAAAAAGTGTGAATGGCGTTCAGGTGTGATTTATAGAACATCTCCTTCACAAGGGTAGATTACTAAGTGAGAGAACCAGCTTTCCTTGACTTGCATGCCTCTTGGTATCTGGCTACTCAATAGCATTTTTAACAAGTTAGTCAATATTTTCTCCTTTAGTTAAAATACATGCAAAATGGTGATCATTAATTTTTAGATGGTTCACTGAATTAACAGTTAATTGCTGAGAATAATATCTGGGTAACTTTAAGCACTTAATAACTGTTTCAACATATCTCCCTCTAATTTATTTATTTTTTTTAAAAGAGAGGGAGACAAAGAGAGAGAGAGAGAGAGAGAGAGAGAGAGAGAGAGAATTTTAATATTTATTTTTTAGTTTTTGGCGGACACAACATCTTTGTTTGTATGTGGTGCTGAGGATTGAACCTGGGCTGCAAGCATGCCAAGCGAGCATGCTACCGCTTGAGCCACATCCCCAGCCCCCTCCCTCTAATTTAAATGCATGCATACCATAGGAATTCCACCTTTATGTATATCTATAAAGCACCAAATAACAAGGCAATTAATAAATAGAAGTATGACCAGTTGAAGGGAAATAAGGACGGCCAGAAGGACATGGAAAGAAGCCGTGGGGATTGAAATTGAAAAAGAATGTATTTCTTGCATATATGTTTATATCACAGTGAACCCCAAAATTATGTATTACTATAATGCACTCAGAAAAGCATTAAAATATTTTTGTCTGAATATATTCTATTTATACCACTTCAGTTTTCGTTTGTTATGTAATCATTTTCCTGGAATATGTGTTAAGATAACCATGAGAGGGGTAACTTTTGTGCTCTTCCTTATGTTAACTGTGGTCACTCTGTGGTGTTCAGCTGACAGTCTATGCTACTACCCCAAAACTGACACCATGATGATATGGATAGAAAAACACCCTCATCTTATTCTCTTTCCTTCTCCCTGTAGTCTCAGAGCAGGTCATGTGGTGTACACTGAACTTTGTTTGGCTCATTATCAGTTAATGACTGAGAGAGCTAATTTGTTAAAATATATAACTGGCATGGCATAGAGCTATCTGTTCCATTTTTGTTGATTGAGTCAGTTAAATGACAGTGAAATGCCAAAGGGAGAATAAAGAGCCACATGTCTCTAAAAGAAATGTGTCCAAAGTGTATAGCCATCTTAAATATGACAACACGGTCATTGACCCATGTATAATTCTGAAAGTTCTCATTTTAAATTATTTTATTTTTAAATTCCAACATTTTTAGTCAAGGAACTTATGTGGGATCACTTTTCCATTTTTTGTGGAACACATATCTACTGTAGTCAGTGAATAAAACAGTACTTGAATAGCACGTATATAGAAGGAGAGTAACAGGTCAGTCAGACATT